AGTGCCTGCTCAGCTCCATTTCCTCTTCTCTATGGTACCTCTCCAACTTCACCTTTGGAACAACCATTCCCCTTAATTTAGTCCACATGGTGGCGTGGGGCTGACTCCAACCTCTGGCTCCCTGTGTGGCTGTGTGGCCTGGTCTGGTCAATGAGAGATGGCCATGCCCCTATGTTGAGCTACTCTTAGTAGTCCTGAAGACTAACTCTTCAGGACAGAGAAGTGCTTTTTTTCCATGGGGCTACACTACTTGGTAACATATGTTTTGAATATGAAGCCTGTCTTGGCATCTTGAAAGAGTAGCCCATCTGAGAACAAAGCCTAAAATGTTGTATGCCAGCTCGGCTGGGCTATGGTATCCAAATATTTGGTCAAATGTATCTAGATGTGGCTGTGAAGGTATTCTCTAATAGATGAGATTAGCATTTAAGTCAGCTGACTTTGAGCAATTACCCTCTATGATATAGGTAGACTTCATCCAATTAGTTGAAAGCCTTAATAGAAAAAAGACTGATATCCCTCAGGGAAGAGGGCATTCTGCCAGTAGACTGTCTTTGGACTTGAGTTGAAATATCAACTCTTTCTTGGTTCCCCAGCCTGCTGGCCTGCCTTGCAGATTTTGAACTTGCTAGTGCCTATGATTGTGTGAGCCAAATCCTTAAAAAAATTCTCTCTCTCTAAATATATATATATATATATATATATATATATATATATATATATATATACACATATATTGTGTGTGTGTGTGTGTGTATTTCTATTTCTGTGGCAAACCTTGACTAATACAAATGATAAGATCAGTTCCTGATATCTGTTTTTAGCCTCTGGATTCAGCCAAAACTGATATCAAATACTACTGGATTTTTACTCAGATCATCCTCTTCAGTTGGGTTTCAGTTTCTTGCAACCCAAAGAGACCCTCTCAGGAAGAAGCAGTGAGCTCACACTCAGTGCTCAGTCCATGCCAGGCCCAGTATTCTCCTTTTATAACTGCTTGGGCCTTGAAGGATGTACAGGAAGTTCATGTCAGCTTGAGGAGCGTTCAAGGCCCCTGGCAGAGTGATCATGTATGTGCAAAGACACAGAGAAATGATGGAGTTTGAGATGCACAGGAAACTGAAGAGTTTAATATGGTCAAAGCAAAGGGAGGCGATTGGCAAGGGACAGTACAGGAGAAGTTGTCAGGGGCCAGGTGATGAAGGACTCTGAATGCCACAGAAAAGTTTAGACTTTGTTCTGAGGTTAGTGGGGGAGCTATTAAAAGAGTTTCAAGCAGGAGAAAGGTGACCCCATTCAGCCTTAGCTGGCCCACTCCACAGTGTGGAAGATACAATGAAGCTGAGAGAAAATACAAGCAGGGAGGAATTATTTGCTGGATAGAATTTTTTCCTGATGCTCTTGAAACCAGATTTCATATGTCATTTCTCATCTACTCAAAGCAGAATAGTACAGTGGTTGATGATATGGACTCCTGGCGCTACCTTGCCTGGGGTCAATCCTGGCTCTGCCTCTTACTATTTAACCTCAGGCATGTTACTGAAAACCTTGGTGCCTCAGTTTTCTCAGTGAAGACAACAGCATAGCCTCCCTCCTAGTTCATTGTAAGGATTAAATGAGTCATTACACATTAGAGYTTAGCACAGTGCTTGACATATAGCAAACAACTTGTTCAGATGCACCTCAACTTACAATGGGGTTACATCCTGATAAACCCCTCTATGTTAGTCAGCCTTCTGTTACTGGAAGAAAATATCTGAGYTAAGTAATTTTAAAAAGTAATTTAATTTATTTGGGCTCAGTTTGGGAGTCTCTGTTCATGATCAGGTGGACCTACTGCTTTGGGGCCTGTGTGAGGCAGCATATTAAGGCAGGAATATATTGTGAAGGAAGCTGTCACCCTCAAAGACAAAGCCAAAAAGAAAGGAAGAAACCTATAATCCTCTGAAGACCTAAAAGCTCTCATTATGTCCCACTTCTTAAAGATTCCACCATCTCCCAATAGCACCAATCTGGGGACTAAATTTTTACATTCAGGCCTTTGGGGGTGTACCAGATCCCGACTATAACACCATCAAAAGTTGAAAATATTGTAAGCCAAAAATGCACTTAAGACACCTAATGTACTGAACCGCATAACCTAGCAACCCAGTGCTTGGTAGAGAATGGGTCATATCCTCTTGGAATCTTGTGGCTGTGGCTCGCTGCTGCCTCCCAGCATCACTGGAGAGTACTGTACCACATATATTGCTAGCACGTGGGAAAGGACCAAAATTCAAAGTTTTTGGTTTCCACTGGACACATATCACTTTCACACCAATGTGAAGTTGGATCTCAGTAAGTCTCAGAAGCACCTGTGGTTCACAGCAGTCTTATTCTTACCAAGACTGGTGTGGACTCCAGGACTGCAAACCCCAGACCTCAGGAGGACAACCCTTGCCTCCACCCAATCCCTGCATCAGGCAGCTCCACCTGCCTCCCCCAGTGGACCAAGTCTGTTCCTTCTGGTTCTCACAGAATTACAGCCAGCCTGGGCCCCAGGGATCAGGAAGTGTCACTACAGGGACAGGAGAGAACAGGGTTCTCATCTCTGGAAACAGATTCTTATCCAAATCTGAGACTTGAGAAATGGGCTGGAACCGGGTGGGAACAAGCTTCCCAGCCCACACAGGCCCAAAGGGAGCATCTCAAAAGCAGAGGCCATACACTCAGCCCTTTCACCCGACTGCCAGAGAGAGGTGAGAGGCTCGAAGTCGGCTCTGCAAACCCTGGGGACTGGCGTGGGAAGCAGCTTCAATGAGATGGACAGAATGCCAAAAGTTCAGAGTCAAAGGGCATTCTYGAATTCCTAGCCTCTTAGGTCTGTGTTTCCACTGTGTGGTGCAGTAGAAAGGGCAGCTCTCCCACYAACCTGGGGGACCTGACAAGGCACCCCTCCTTGAACGTGGTTTTCCCAAATATCTACATGATGGGGGTTAGATTCTAGGGTGGCAACCTAGGGTTGTCCTGCAGGTCAGTTTCAGTGTGTTGCTAGCCACTGCCTGGTGGCTGGTTAGAGTGCTGGGATTGAGGCAGAGGTCCTGCCCTGCACAGGAGGAAACCGACAGCACCTGGACAGTCCTAGGTCTGAACAGGTTTTAGTCCTTCATGCTCAGCCTTGGTCACTGAAGCGGATCCCTAGGTCRGACCCAGTCCCCCTGTGGACTCTGGCCTCAGCTCTGTTTGTTGTGGCCTCCAAAGCAGAGTAAGGAACTGCTTTAGGTCCCCACTTTATACACATTCTCTGGATCTTTTCACTTCTTAACCTTGATTAATGTCAATTAGTCTGCTGGGGAGGGCTGCTTTGGGCTCAATATGGGCCAACTTTTTAAAGGGAGTTGATTTCTTTGATGACAATGATGAGGCCCATTGTAGCCCACACACCCTGCCAACCCTAGAGGATCTTATGACTCAGGACTTAACGTCACCCACGTCCCTCTTCTCCTATCAGTCTCCCTTCCTGCTCTATCCAGCAACATACCTTTCCTGCCCTTCTTTAACCAGGGGCTCAAAGCCCTCTTCTTTGTCTCACTCACCAAGTCCTGATAAGCACAGAAGAACTCATTCACTCGGAGGTGTCAAAAAGTAAGAACAGCTGGTACGTGTAAGATTCCAGGCGTCTCAGGGGGAAGGACTAGCAGCAGTATTTGTAGGTCACAAGAGGAGCAGCAGAATATTAATTGACCTTCATTTGTGGGGAGCATTGTTCGGCCAACAGTCTGGAATTTGAGGCATTTGAGGAGGCTCGCCCTGCTCTATATGGTGGAGCCAGAATAACTGGACTGGAATCTCAGTGCCACTTCCTCTTCATGTGACCTAGGACAAGTCCCTAAACCTCTTTATACATCAGTCTTCTCTTAATAAAATCGAGTTGATGATATTAATGGCGACAACCTCAAGATTACTGAGGATAGTAACTGAGCTCAGTGCTTAGACCAGTACCTTGCACATGGCCAAGGCTCTCAGGGTGTTGGCTCTCACCATGGGGCTCCTGGGAAGGCTGTGCACTACTCCCAGTCATTGCAGTTGGAGATGGCAGACACARGAGTCCGRCCTAGCACATAGAAGGTGCCAGCARATATGGCTCCCTCCTTGTATCTTGGCTTAGGAATCACCTCCAGGGCCAAGCCAGGTGCTAGAGAAGGAAACAGAGGGAATTCCTCCACATGGCTGCTGTCTCTGGGAGCCAGTTATTAGGAGGTCACCAGGACTTGGCCTCCGTTGAGGAGATAACTAAGTCTGTGCTCTCTTTTCTGCCCCCACCTTGGAACGTTTAATCTCTCCCAGAGAAAACAGAGGGAATTCCTCCACCTGGCTGCTGTCCGTGACCACAGCTGAGGCTGGAAAGATGATGGCCGTGTTCAAGCTGAGATCTCAGGAAGTGAGAGGTCACCCTGCTCTATACGGTGGAGCCAGAATAACTGAACTGGCATCTCAGCTCTACTTCCTCTTCACTGTGTGACCTAGGACAGGTATCTCAACTTGGCCTAGGAATTGTCAGGATACAAGGAGGGAGCCATATTTGCTGGCACCTACTATGTGTGCCAGGCCAGAATCGGAGGCAGAGATGGAAGGATGGCTGAGAAGTTGAGAAGCATGAGGAAGCCACCGAGGGTCTGAGAGAGCTGGCCTTCCAGGACACCTTACACCAGAACTACTTTCCATTTCTAATTCTTAGGGACATCATATCTCCGGGCCTCGGATTTCCCTGAGATGACTAGACTTTTACCACCCACTTGTCTCTGGAGTGAGGATCCTGGTCCTTGTTACCAAGAGGCCTGGCCACTGGGTCACCTCTTTCATGTTGGTGGACCCAATACAGAGCATTGGATCTGACTCTCACTCTTGGGTAAGGGTCCAAACCTTGGCATTTTATTTGACAGCCTTCAGTCTGCTGCCTAAATCCATATTCACTCACATAAGCCGGAAAAGAAGTCTGTTTATTTTATTAATGAGCTCAGAGTAAGATTTGCAGTAACAATCCTAGAAGCAATTACAGCAAAAGAGAGAAGAGAGGGATGGTGGAGAGAAGAGACTGAGGAATCGGGTCTGATTAGGGCTGGAGTGAGGCWCCCCCAGAGCTGGGAGAGACTAAACGTTCCAAGGTGGGAACAGAAAAGAGGGCCCTGAGGCCTCCTCCTGAATACTCCCTCCCCTCCATGTTGGCTTTTAGGAGTGTTCCTTGGCCAAGCCTAGTTCCAGGTCAAAGGGATTTGGAGTTCCTGGGTACTGGTGACAAGTTTGGGAATGTCTTCAGGTACATGCCGCAGGTCTCTCAAGACTGGTTGCCGGCTTTATGTTCAGGGGTTGAGTCCAGMGCTCACTGTCTTCTAGGGATGAATTTGTTTTCTCTCTCTGGACTTCAGAAGAAAGTCCTGTGGAGGAAGAGGAAACAAACCAGGAAGGTGCARGTCTTGTGAGTGGCACTCAGCCAAGGGCAAAGCCCCACCCTGGCAGCACGAGGCCTTGCCAATCCCTAGAGGCCCCTCTTGGTGCAACTCCAGGCAGTTACACACCAGCCAAAGTCACAGCACACAGGAGGCCAGGAATAAAGTAGCAGAGACACCAGGGACAGGGGTGGGGGAAGGACCAAGAGGAAGAGGGGAGGGTCTCTTGCTAAGAGTAAGTGACAGAAAATACAGGTCACTTAGGTACCCCTAGATGTCACTGTACAGCAGGCCAGCTGTCTTGGGAACATGAGGCCCTAATGTTTTTGGAAATTTATAACAGAAAAATCAACAAGTCAGACTTGGCTTGGCCCCAGAAGCTGCTAGCTATGGGTTCGGGTCACCTCCAACACCAGCTTCACAGCCACCTGGCCCAGGGTGGGAAACACATTCCAAGGCTGGGATCTACCTTGTGTTCCACAGTTAGAGCCTGGATCAAGGGAGGGAGATGGCAAAGGACAGTTGGTCTGAGCAGGACTCAGGCCTTTGTAGGGCACAACAGGACACGAGCAACTCTAATCCACCAACCCTGGTTCTTTGGACCAGCCTTAAAGACCTCTCAACAGCCCTGGCTCTGCCCAAGCAGGGAATCCACTCCCTCCCTGGGTGAAGCAGGGGTTCCAACAGGGCTGCATTCCCAGGAAAAGGAGAAACGTTTGGTGAGGACACCTCTGGGAGGAAATTCAGACTGGACTTCGTGGGCTCTCTCCCAGCACAGCACACCTGGCTCCAGGCGCCATCTGTGCCAGCGGGGAGCCATGCTCAACGCTTCACCCTGTTCATTTGGGTGCTGCATGGGTCAGGTCCCAAGGACTGTGTGCATCAGGACACCCAGGTCCCACCCAGTGCTCCAGACTAGGTTCTGCACACTCCCTTGAGTGGGAGGGTCTTGAGTCCCACAGAGTTTCAGAGTGATGGACAGCAGACCCCAGAGGCACTTCAGGGGCAGTGTGCCTCATGTCCCCTCCAGATGCCAGTCCAAAGAACCTGCCAGCAGCGTGGGCAGCACATGGCCACTGCACGCAGCATGGACAGATGGGGCCCTGAGGCCACCTATTCACCGTGGGCTCCAGCTGCAGGAGGAACCCGTGTCTGTACACGGGAGTATGGTCTTCAAGGAGCTTTCGGACTGGCTGGGGGCTTTCTGCTGCAGAGGAGGGAAGAGAAGAGCTACATGTGCAGAGCAGAGCAGGAAAGAAAAAGGGCTTGGTTAATCCTGGGCAGAGCTCTGCCAGACCTCGCCCTCCACCTTAGTCCTGTCTCAGCCCTGAGCTCCAGAGTTAGGAGCAGCCAGATCCTGGTTCCTCCAAGACACAAGGGGGTTCAGGCTCTGCTGAGCAGAGGGAGGCAGCAGGCATGCCCACGACAGGCAAGGCAGGGTGTGTTAGTGACGGGGAGGGAGGTGACGTGATGTGGTGAGGACACAGGTGAGGGGCCACGGAGGCAGAGAGGTAAAAATGCATGCAGAGGCAGGGATAGAGAAGCAGGGAGCAAGCAAAGGAGAGGGCAAGAGAGAGAGACGGGGGAGAGGGGTGATGGGAAGGAGACAGGTGGGAAGGGAGACTGACAAGAAGGATGGGGAAGAAGGAGAGACAGGAAGGACAGAGAAAGGCCCAGCCAGATATAGACAGACCGAGGGACTCACTGGGCCAAAGCTCCTTGGAGAGCCCTCAGGATAGAGACAAGAGCCTGTGGTCTTTGCTGTCTGGAGATGCAGCATTTGTGAATAGGGTTAGACATCAGAAAGACCTTCCAGAGAGTGAAGGGAATCTTTATCTGATAAGGGAATGGGGGATCAAGTTCTGAGTGGGGAATTAAAAATCCTGAGGGCTAGTCCTAATTTCACTGTGTACTTTTACTTGATCTGAGACCATGAGCCTATAGGTAAGGAATTTGGACCAGATAGCCCGGGAGGCAGCTCTGATGCCACCTGAGGACAGCGACTTCCTTCCAGGGATACTCTAGCCCTGGGCTGTCTGCCTGGTGGCAGATGTGTGTCTGGTATTCTTTCTGGCTGAAGAAGGTGTCCCAGACTGTAGAGGAGGAGGAGGAGGAGCAGGCAGGGGCCAGGGCCCAGCGCACACTTACAGCTCATCGTCGTATTCCTTGGGGGGACAGACGGCAACAACAAGGTCGATCCAGTCCTGTGGGGAGAAGCCGGGCAGCTGTGGGCATGCTCAGGGGTGGGTGGCACATCTGCCCCATGCTCCTTCCCACTCCTGAGCCAGGATCAGCCAACCAGGCCTCTTCCCAGGGGGAAGTGGGGGCGGGTAGGGCTGGAGGTCCTCCAGTTGGGTTTGGCTCCACTGTGGCGTCCCATGCTCTGGAGAAATTTCCAGGCTCTTAGGTTCCCAATCATAGGGTGTGCAGGACCTTCAAATGACACTGTGTCCCCAAGTGCCGACCTGTGGACCAGGGCCAGGCAGCAACCTCAGAATCACTTGAGGGGATTTTTAAAGTGTGTAGACTCATGGGCTTGCCTGCTGGTGGTCTGCGGTGGGCCTGGGAAAGCATTTCTAACAAGCTCCCCAGACAAATCAGAGGCACAGACAACTGGGGGACGTTGGGTGGGCCTGGCCTTTGAGTTCTCAATCTGAGTCCCCTAAAGCATATCACTGCCATCCTTGGGGTGCCCATCAGTGTCTGTCCTGGGCTTGGGTGCATCCATTGAAGAGTTCTGGAAATTGCCATGGCTCCTAGATTGATCTGGGACCTTTACCTCCCCAGGACCTCCCTCCAATCCCTCAAGAATCACAGCAATAGTTCTACTCTCTCTTCCCTAATACAGCCCTTCAGAAAATCAGTCAGTCATCATGTTACCCGTGAGTCTTCTCTTCTCCACATTCCTTCATGTGAGTCCCAGGCCCATCTGGTCAGCTTCCTCGGCACTGAACTTAATAACTCAGGCTCGGCTGCCTGCATACAGTTGCACAGGTTGTGCATTGCACAACATGAGTGGGCACCATTCATACTATGGTCTGTAGGAGGGTGTCCCCCTCAGATTGTGCATAGCATAGCCTGTGAGAGATCTCATGTGGTGGCCCTGATCCAGGTGAGTGTGTAATGCAGACGATCACCAGCCTCTCTTTGTCCTGGACCATTTACTATTAATGCTTTCTTTTGATTTCTCRAACTCCCAACTCTTTTGATTCCTATTCAGTGTACACTCAGTGAAGACCTTAAGTCTTTTCCTTGGGTACATAGTCATGTCCAGAGTTCCAGAATCTGTGTTTGTTCCATTAGCTTTTTGGACTCAAGGTCAGGAATTGATATTTACTTTCCTGAGTCCTCTCCTGTCAGATTTAACCCATTGGCTGGACAGGGGTGTGGACCTTGGACACTGGTCCTGGGATGGGGCTCCCCAACTGTAAGGCCTGGCTTCAGAGGCCAGGTCAGAGGCAGGCAGGTGAGGGAGCAGGGAGAGGGCTCATTCTTACCCCGCCCTGATTCCAGGCCTTCTGCAGGGTGGCCTCTGCCTCAGCCAGGGTGTAGTCTGTCACGATCTTGCCGTTGATCGCCATGATCTCATCTCCTTTCACAATGCCACCTGCAGGAAGATGAAGCTGATTGGCCAACTGGGCTACATGGGACACGGATTGGGCCAGGACTGGGCAAAGGGAGAGCCACTGTGGGGCCACAGAAGAGGCTGGGCCCTGGGAACTGAGAGCTCGCGTGGCTCAGAAAGTGTGAGGGTCAGCAGCATACTTAGTTACTCGGATACTCAATGGCATTTCCTCCCTGAGCCTCAACCCTGCTCAGTGGAACTGGGACACCAGTTGGCTCCTGCACAGGCGGCAGCTACTGCAGAGGAGACACACCTGCATTTCCAGCCGGGTTATTAGACACAAGTTGGTTCTGTGGGTTGGGCCTCCCTGATGTGCAGCCATGCTGGCTGGCTTGACCCTCCCCCTCCCCAGCCCGCCGTGCTCTTTCCTGCCTGGAGCAGGGCTGTTGTGGACTGTTCCATTCCCCTCTCTTTCTTCTCTTCTAGATCTGAAAGGGGGCTTCCCTGAGTGCACCCAGTTGAAGGCAGCTCCTCCTGCCGTTCTCTCTCGGCACCCTGGTCTTTTCCTGCACAGCACACAATCTGTAATCATAATCTGCTTCTTTCCTGTTTGCTGATGGTCTCTCCCGCTGTGCTGTCAGCTTCCTGAGGATAGGACTTATCTTTTTTGGTTCACTACTCTATCTTCAGCCCTTCAAGGAATATCTTGCCCAAGTAGGAACTCAATTGGATATTTGTTGAATAAATGAATGGTGTTAAAAGATGTTCCTGCATAACCGTCTTGTGATCTTCTAATTTTGGGAGGAACCGATTAGTATCCAAACAGTTTTTATCAGTTATTATCTCGTCAGAGCCTTGACTAGGATCCTGTGCACTGTGGTTCTCTAAGTGGACAGACTGTACATGGTTTCCTCCACCTCTTGAACTTCCGTGTTTCAGGAAGGTCTCCTAGTCCTGATGTCCACAGAACATCTATCTCTCTGTTACGCTGAGATCATGCAGAGGGAGGCCTTGTGGGCCTGAAGGCCATAGGAACACGGTGTGTTACTGAGATGGCAGCCTCAGTAGCTCGAAACAAGCATGCATTTGGAAACGTCCACCAGCTGCTTGGATGTCCAAAGCAGCATGGGATCAGACTGTAGACAGCAGTTTCCCTCGGACAGAGGGACTAAGGTAAGTGACTTCCACATTTTCATTTTGTACAAATCCAAGATGGCACCTCAGGGTCAACAGGGCTTTGTAAATTGGGAGTGACAGGAAGAGCCACTATCCTTCCTGGTCCTCTTTCCCTGCCAGATGCAGAGATAGGTGGCCTTCCTGGGCCAAGCTGCAATTCCTCCCTCAACTGGTACAGGAATGAAGACAGGAGGCCCCTGCGCAGAGCTGAGTGAGGGTCACAGCATGGCTGGGAGAGACCCAAGGCCACTGAGGCCATGATGGCAGGGCTGGATTGTGCCCTGGGCTCCCTGTGTGCCCACCCGACTTGGTGAACACAGCAGTCAGGCTGCCTTTCCCTTCAGTCCCCTGCTCCAGTGGATTCTGTGAAGCAGGAATCAGAGCCGGGGTCCACAGAGGCCTCCCTCATCAGCAGAGGGTGTTTTTTGTTGAAAATAGATCAAAGGCAAAGTAAGATCTGCCTCATGCGAGACACAGGTCCTTTGGCCCTCTCAGAGCAGGTGAGGCTGTGGAAACCTGCAGCAGAGGTGGCACTTTGACTGGCAGTAAAACCAAATGGCCAGCTGCCTAGACTCAAGTCCTTTTAGCTCCACCTTTTACCTGCTCTGTGTCCTTGAAGGAGTACTTGGACCTCTCTGTGCCTCAGTTTCCTAAGCTGCAAAATGAGAATAACAACAGCACCTGCTGGGGTGGCGTGAGGATTAAATGGATTAGTCCAAGTGAAACACCCGGACACAGGGCTGGGTGCCCGTCACTCACTCACTTACACTGGCGCGTGGTTAGTGCATGACAGACTGTTGTCACTGAAGGGCAGGTTTGGTTTGGATGGTCTCTCTCCCATTTCCCTGGTGCGGTTCCCTCCTGCTGGAAAGTCTTTCACAGACTGGCCTCAGTTTATCTTTCAAGGCTTGGTTCACAATTACCCTTCCAGGGAGCCTTCCCAGTGTCACCTCCCCCTGATGGGTAGTGGCCCTTCAGGATCCCACGACCTCCCGGACCCTTAGTTCCCTGCCCACCCTTAGCGGACAGCACTGTTATTACATCTGGCAATTCTGAGCATATTCCTGCCACTAGCTTAGAAGGCAGGGTGGCACCTGCTTACGCCATGTGCCCACTGGCACCAGGGCAGGCCCTCGGGACACATCTGAGATTGGATAGATGGCTGCCTGGATAGACCTGGTGCTCTCGAGAACGGTCAGCCTGCCCCCAAGCAGGGATCTGTCTGCTTTCCTGGGGGGCCTTGTGTAGAACCATCACACCATGTCCAAATGTTGGGTGACCAGTCCCCACTCACCATGTCGCTCAGCAGCTCCCCCCTCATACACAGCCGAGACAACCACCTTCCCGACGGGGGAGTCCACGCCGCCTTCCAGGGCCAGGTCTAAGGATCCCTCCTGGTTGGAGGAAGACAGGTCTGAGGGGGCCACGCAGACAGTAGCCTGTGGGCACCTGGGCACCGAGGAGCCTCTCCACAGAGCCTCAAGAGCAGGAGAAAGCATGGGCCGATGGTAGTGCATGGTGAGAAAGTGGGCTTGGGACCACCACAGAGGGAAGCAATAGTGGGAATTTGAGAGGTCACCTGGGAGTCACCTTGGGAGCAGCAGAAGCAGGGAACCAAGGGGGCAGGAGCAGGAGCAGAGAAGGATGGTAGCTGCCCCACCTCCTCCACGTGCCCACATACCTTCTTGATGCGCAGGAGCCGGACGTCCTTCCCTAGGATCTGCTCTGGGGTGAACTAGGGGGAAAAGACAGGGGAGCTTTGACTCTGAGGAAGGGTGTGTGGGGAGCAGGAAGCCTGGGGGACACTGGGCCCCATAGAGTACACGGCAAGGGGAACCTTCCCCATTGGTCTTCAACTGGGGGTCCCCGGCCCTTCGAGGGATGATGGACACATCACACACTCGGCCACACAAGTCCCAGATCCATTCTTCCAGGATAATCGTGAGGACTGGGCAAAAGCAGGGTCTCGTAACTACACCAGAGGCTGGTGCACAGTAGTGCTCAGCAAGTGTCACTGTCCCCAYTATGCACACACACACACACACCCCATACAGAAAGGAGCCCTGATAGGAAACAGCAGCTGGGGTATCCCCGGGGCAACTCATGTGCCCCACCACATCCTTGGGATCCCAGGGCCCCAAAACCATCTTCATCAAACACCCTCAGCTTCTCTCAGGGAAGGAGGTTACCCCTTACCATGGAGTAGGGGTCAAAGCCTTCCTCATATTTCCGGAAATCCTGGAAGCAAAGGTACAGCTTTAGTCAACCGAAAAGAGGTCCTTGCAGGTCACTGCAGAAACAAGCTCAGGGCCGAGAAGAAAGAGAGGGAATGGGTGCAAATCCAAGGGTCAGAGGCGGGGAGAGGGTAGGGGCAGAAGTGGCCAGGACAGGAGTGCAGACAGGAGGCTGGCAGCCAGAGCCCGGTGCTCAGGGGGCAGGCAGGAAGCTGCAGGAAGCATTTGGAGGAGTGCAGCCCTGTCCCTGTATGGTCTAGGGGTTGGGCATCTGTGGCTGCAGGATACAGGTGATGTCTGGACATCTGGGCAGCAGTGCCTGTCCTGCTGAGTCTCACCTTTGGTCTCAGACCTTTCAGGCCATACCTCATCCCTTCCAAGTCCCCACTTGAGGGCATACCCAGGTCCTGGTGGATGAGGATGGGTGCTTCTCCACCCAGTGCACTAACCCCACAGAAGGGCCAGTCCTGTGCAAGAGGCTGCTCTGACCAGGGAAGCCAGCCACAAGGCGACTGAGGGAGGCAAAGGGGAAGAAGGTGGTGGTAGCGAGACTGCTGGCCTGGGGCCTGGCACTGTTCTTATCCGATCTAGGAAGCGAGAGGCCCCAGGCTGGCCCTTTATCCAGGGGAGGAAGGGAGACACACAGCTCTGATTCCCCAAGATTAGAAACAAGGCAATGGGAGGAAAGGGGCAGAGCCAGAACACACGGCTTCCTCACACAGCAAGTAGAGCCTGGGGCATCGTAGGCCCAAGGGCCAGGATGCTAAGGTGGGCAGCAAAGCCAAGAATGGAGCCAAGTAGAGCCTTGTGCAGGTGCCCACACAGACCACAGGATGGAGCAGAGCCACCCTCAGCACACAGTTCCCTAGATCACACCAAACATCCCCTGGGTCCTGTGGTTTTTTGTTTTTTGTTTTTTTGGTGGGGGGGTGGGGGGAGAGGGGAGCAAGGATCTCCCCACTCCCCACCAGCATGCAGCAACCAAGCTCTGGGGACAAGATGAGGGCCAAGTATCAGCAGATGGATCCCTGGGTATCTGCCTACCACCTCTCCTCGTACATAGCCTTCACCTCTTGGGCTCAACCCCAAAGATGTCTTGAACCTAGTTCAGCTCAGAGGCCACATCCAGGTTGGCCTGTGTTTGTTGGGATGGCAGTCAGGAAAGGGATGCAGTAAGTCCACACATGAGAAGGGTCATTCTGCAGGATCTGCACCCATGCTCTTTCACTGAGATGGGGCTGCCTACTTCTGGTTGTTCCTTCTGGAAAGCTGGGAAGTGGTAATCACCGGCCCCCTCTCCCTGTGACCCTGAGAACCTATCTCAGAGATGGGCCAGAAGGCATGTCTAGTGTGAATTTGGAGGCCCATAAGCCATGGTGGTTGGTAGGCCTTTAAAGAAGTAGCTCAAACCTTCATTAAACACACAGAGAAACTGAGGTCTGAGAGGAGACATTTGTGCTTAAGGTCACCTAATTAGTAGGCAGGGGAAAAAGAGTTTGCTCCAAGCTTGGAGTCTCAGACTAGGGGGACTGTTTCTGTCCTAAACACCAGGCCCTTCAAGGCCTCTTCTGCCACAGCATTGCTTTGAGAGGCTGAGCGACACAGCATTGAAGAGCAGACCACAGAGCTCGACCTTCTGCTTTCCCATCCAGGGTCAGAGACTGGTGGTGCCATCATGGACACATTTCCAAGTCCCTCTGCCTCTTACCTACAAAAGGAAGACTGTGATAGCCATGACCTCCCAGGGTTGCTGTAAAGATTAAGTGAGTTAATAGAGGTAATGTACTTAAGCAGCTGTGTTCAGCACGGCATGCTTTCCGGGCATTAGCTGATGCCTGTCATTCCCTGGTCCTGGGCTCAGAGCAGCTTTTTTTTGCAGACACCCCCAGTTTGCTCCATGCCTGACATCAAATCAGCTTGTGAGTGGGAGGCTGGAGAAGCCGGGGCTGCCTGCCAGATCTCCTCTATGTTGGGGTCTCTTTCATTGGGGGGTAGGAGAACCAATCCAATGGCTGGCTCTGGATGTACTCCCAAGAGGTGGGAAGGTTATGGGGCTGTCTGYCTGACACCACTCAGAGCCCAGCAAGGACTTGCATGTCCCTGAGCTCAGGAGTACTCTGGGCAGATGGAGAGCTGAGATGCCATTTCTTCCTGTGACTGATTCAGCATCAGGCAGGGTTTGGTGAAGGTGTGACCTTCCTAGAGGGAACAAGACAGGGAAGGTAGCCCCTTTCTTCTCATCTAGGGCTGGAGCAAGGGCCTGTCCTGGCCTCTGTGACCCTCTGAGGGATTCCTCTGTCCTGCTCCTCTTTGAATAAGCAGCAGCAGAAGAGGTAGCACCCAGGGATCCTGTGGCCTTTCTCAGCTGGGGCACAGGCTCTGATACACCCTGGATCCCCATGTGATGAAAGCCTCCTTGACTTCAGCTGCAGGCCAGGGGACACAAGGATCCCTGGCAGATGGCAGTTGGGGCTGCCTCACAACCAAATGGTACTCCCAGGGAGAAAGAAGTCACAGAGTGGGAGGGATGGGTGGTGGGGAGGACCAGAGCACACGACAGGTATCATTTTTTACTTGTCTGAATGCTGTCTGATAAACCACCATCCTCTTCAACATCTCCTGTGGCTGTCAGGAAAAAAAAAAAATTCCCCACCAAATGTTACCGATAGGTCTCGTCTGCCCCCTGGTGCCAAGCCCTGGGGCTGCCAGCCTAGGGCTGACTGGCCAATGTTCCTCCCCAGACACAGTCTGACTTTGGGGTGCACCTTATGTCTCCCAATGTAGCAGCTGCTCAGTTGTAGACAAGCAGACAACACCCCTATCATTAATCAGAGACGGTAACATGGACTCATCAGCAGGCCATCCCAACAGTGTGACCTTTGCTCTTTGGGGAGCTGATGGGACAGCTAAATCTCAAAATAAGTGTCTGAGCTGTCCTGCCCTGACATTTGGATAGGGTTTCCTTGAAAGGGGAATAAAAATTCTGGCTTGGCTTTTTTCCCAGTTGGTGGCTGGCACCTCTGGAGGGTGCACATGAGCCCCAGCTCCCTCAGACTTTGGGCACTGGGGTGGGTAGATCCTCCTACTTTCCCTGGGCCACACCCTAGACTCCCTCCCAGGCCTAGTGAGGAGCGAAAAGTAAAATGGAGACAGGGAGTGGGTCTGCTTTGGCCAGTCCCCCACCTCAGGGTATCCCAGGCCATGTAACACCGTCCCTGGGGCAGGGACCAGGGAGACTAGAATCTTTGCAAGTTTTGGCAAGGTGGGTAAAAGCACAGCTCTGGAGTCTGAAAGATTTGAAGTAAGTAGATCTAGGCTCTGCTTTGGGCAACCGACTTAACCTCTCTAAGCGTCAGTTTGCTCAAGGGTTAGAGAGGGATGACAATCAGAGCCATCTCACCAACTTGTTGTGAGGATTTCATGAGAGCATGCAGAGCATGGCACATGGAGGGCTCCAACTGTGTTAGTTATTAACATGCAGGATGGTCAAGCAGGGAACAGGAATTCTGCTGAGCAGACCACCCATGCAGATTCACCTCCTGGCCGAAGTGAGGGTTACAAGATGACACCTGATCCTAGTTTGTGTGGCTCCTCACTATTCCCTCAGGACAGCAGAACCCAGGGGACACAGCCCTGGTTTTCTCTTCTCTAGATATCTTGGAGGGGACCTGAGGGGCTTACCAGGACCTCGGATTTCACAGCTGGCCTGTAGATAAAGTTGTTCTCCTGGTGGACCATGACAGGTTTGGAGATGGTGGACACGCCAGGGCCTCGTGGAGGCTGTGGGCTTGGGCAAAATGTCTACAGGGGTTAGTTTAACAGAGATCCATGTAAGGTCACAGGTGGTAAAGGCTGACCACAGCACTTCTGCACACATGCAAATCCACTCCCATGAACATGCTGAGCAGGCCGGTCCATTCACTGTGCTGGAGTGTGATCTTCAGCAGAGTGAAGAAGTCCATTGGACACAGAGTAGTCTGAGGCCACAGAAACTACTGGGGGTGGTGGTGGTTAAAGAATCAGCCACTTGAGCCAGAATCTGGTTTAGGGCAGCAGCACCCACTGTCACTCAGAGGGCACACTTTCAAGGCCCTCTCTCGGTAGTCATGGGGAACCATCTAGCTTCCCCTCTCTTAAGGGCTATTTCTTCTGGCCACAGTTGAGTCTCTGGACTTCAGCATGAGGTACAGAGCATCCAGATGCCATGGATAAGGACTTAAGAGTGGCATCCAGGGGATTCTTTGTCCTAAACCACTCAACATCTTGGGCAAGAACCCTGCCCAGAACAACTTCAACACTTCAACACTTGAACTGATCCTTTGTTGACTTTTCTGCTTTCCTTTCCATCATCACTTGTCACTTCTTCCCAGAATTCTTACTCTGCCTGATTGTTAGCCTCAAATGCCAGGCTCTCCTGCTTCTAGGCCTTTGCATATGCTCTTTTCTCCTGCTTTGTCTGCCCAGGTCTTGGCTCTTATACCACTGTCTTCCTCTCTCAGTAGTTTCTTGCCTCTCTCAATAGTTTCCTCTCATCCCTGCACCTCATCACAGTACCTGTGCATGCCCCTCTCAACCCTGGAGTGTTCTAGTTGCCTGCTTGTTTGTCTTTCCTAACTGTCTTGGACAGGGACTGCAGCTCCCTGACAGTGGTGGTTCACAGTGACTGGCACAGAGTGACATATAGCAGGTGCTCAGTAAATATGTGTTGGCTGAACAAATGACTCATTGGTAAGGTGGGCATGCCAGGCAGTGGGTCTGGTTCTGAAAACCCTACTCTGGCAGGGGCTGGCATTGTAGGCACATGTGTTAAACTGAGGCAAGTGTTTGTTTCCACTACCTGAGGCCTGTTGATGGCTGTGCAGATATGTCATCAGTCACACTTCTTGCTGTAGCATTGATGGCATGCAAGGAGGAGATTGGGAAGGACAGGTGGCATGAGCACCAGAGTGCTGATGGATATGATGAAGCCAAACAGTAAACAAACAGAAATCTCCTGGCTTTCAA